GTGCAGCCTATCTCACAGGAACAGTTAAAATCTTGTGTGATCTGTAAAAGCAAAGAGTCCTGTGATCCCTGAGGAGATCAATCAGTGTGACTGTGACACCAGGTACACAGGAAGTACTGGCTTCTTCAGATGCATAACGTGAACCAATTCAAAGCTTTTTGCCTGCTTGAGGCTATGGGTACATGGCCAAATAGTGCAGGATTTGCTGCAGGTTTAAAAAGGATAAATTTGCCAAATTTTGCTGATCATGTGATGCAAAGGGTAATTCAAATCAGTCCAGATTTTTTTTTTGCTCCACCGTGACAGGGTTTTTCCCCCTCAGCCACTGGGGGCTTCTACTTTTTTCCAAGCAGGAAGTATTTGAATAAATTTCCACCCACGTGATCTGTTGTTTCATTCTCCAGAGGGATGGGGGAGTGACTATGGGTGTTATTCTGATGACATACTGAGTATGGTACATGGTCATTTTTTTTAAAAAAAATGGTATATTTATGTGTGTATCTTTTTGTACCTTGTGGATAATGTTGGAAAACTGTCCCTTTCCCTATCACTGTGCAACACTTTGAACAGCCCACCAGTGTGATGAACCGTAAAAGGAGAACCCAGATTGGCAGAGGGTGGGATCAACGGCACCAAAACAATCCATAGTCTCTCTGTGATCACTTAAAATGAATCAAGTCACAGCAAAACTGAGTCAGGGCAATTGCCAGTGTAGTCACAGCCAAAGTGAAACAGATGGCAAGCAACCTGCTCACCATGAGTTAGTTTGATCTCAGTTTGCATAGTTGCTAATTAATAAATGGGACAGTAACACCAAAAAAAATCAGTGCCACGTGAAGTAGAAATCTGAGTTATTTTATCCTCTGGGGGCAGCAGATTGGCCATAATCTGCACCCCATCCTGTATTTTAAAAGCAAACATTATTGTAGCAAAGCTTGGGAACCTCAGAACCTCCAGTTGCTGCTGAACTCCAGTCCTCATCAACCCTAGTCCCCCTGGCTAGTGATTAAAAAATGGGAGCAGTAGACCATTGACATCTGAAGGTTCTCCACATCAGCTTCATAGTCAACCTTACAACAACAACAAAAGGCATTCATTTGTTCACTGCATAACACATTCAGGGTCCCAATGACTGAAGAAAAACGATGAGTAGGAAGTATATATTTTAATGTCCTCCAATGTTCTAATTGCACATGCTTACCTTGTTTCCACTTGATATTTAAGCAGCTACTCAACTCTTATATTTGTAGCAGTCAATTCTTTTATTACTTCACATCACAGGATTAAAACCAGGGTGTTTTTAATGCCTAAACAATCCTGAATATATTATTGGGAACTGAGAACAACAGCAACTCTGTGGGCTGGTCCATATGGTTGCATAGCCCACAAATCTCTCCTGATGTGATGAAAGAAATGGCTCCATGCTCCCCTTCACTATGCATACAAAGTAAGAAACAAGTCGAACACTCCATCTAAAGGCGTAAACCTCACGATTCCTTCCCCCTTATATGTTACATTAAATGTTTGCTTATGGAGGGGATGTTTCTTTCTGTATCACAAGAAGAGGACTAAATGTTAATAGTTTTGTCTGTGCTTCTCTGGTGCTGGTATCTGTGGAACTAAATCTTTCAGGGCTGGATGACAAAATTTTTGCCCCTCCGTTATTCTGCCCTTACCCTATTTCCCCTGAAATAAGACAGGGTCTTATATTAATTTTTGCTCCCCAAAAC